CAAGCAGAACAACTGACTTCCCACTTCATTTTCTATATAATCTGAAACAATTTTGAATCCTGACAAGGTTAAAACAGCTCTATATAATAAAAAAACAAAAACAGTTAAAGCCTATCTCCAGGAAAAATAACTTATCTATGCAGTGGGGCTACCCCCACACTGCAAGGCTTATCTGCTTGTTTAGGTCTAGGGGACCTGTTTAAAGCTCACATAGACTCTAAGCCAGTGTCTGCAGCCTCTTCCCCCTGCTCAGAGGCTCGTTGACATGATCACGTTCCCATAGCCCTACATTATACGTAATTGGAGGGAAAGACCACAAGCTGGAGTGCAGTGGGGAGCGGAGAAGGCAAACTGCCAGGGGAGCGGGGATCAGGTAAGTAAAAGTCCTTTACAGAGCTCCCCTAGTCATTAAAGAGCAGATAACCCTTGCAGTGTAGGGGCAAGAGGAGTTAACTTTTTCCATGGAGGTATTTAATGAAATACAGAGAGAAAATAAAGGGGAGGGCAAAGGGGTTAGGGGAGTGAATAATTGTTCATTGACAAAGTGAGAAAAATTACCTTATTTTGATTAAATACGTAGCAGTAAGGCAGAGCAGATGCTCCTTTTGAACTACAAGTCAGGGCTCTTCCCACAAGGGTCTAGGGACCTCATTTTATACTCCTTTTGTAATTCAACTCTATGTACAGTATCTCTGTGTGCATACCTCTCAGTCCTGAGATCAGCAAAGGGACACCATTTTGTGCCTAACATCAAGCTTAACCTAATAACTCCCTTTTTATATAACCAACACACAGTGTGTGTTAAAGAAAATTATAGACCAAGATAAACCAAAGCAGCCACTTTAGGTTGGCATTTATAGGTATTTCACTGCGCTGTAAATGTATATAATTGACTTAACCCAAATTAAGCCAATAAAAAGAAAACCATTAGCCCTACAGAAAATATTCAAACCACTGTTCAGGGAACTATGCTAAGCTGTGATCTAATGGACATGTCGCATGATATCTGCCTTTTGGTCACAGGTCTTTGGTGTTTCTTAAACAAGTCACAAGCCTTTAGATCTGACCAAAGCCAGAAATTGCCTTCCTCTCCTTCTTCTCTGGCTCTGGGAAGCTAAAAAAAGGTCTACTGCATGTTTTCCTTATAGCAGCTAGAGTTGTAATTCCAAGACTTTAGCAGTCAACTCTTCCTCTTTCTGTCAAACAATGGATTGTTGAACTCAATCGGTTGTAACACATTGAGGAGCTAATGGTCCACCTACATGACAGATATGAGCAATACACTTGTATGTGGACTATCTGGATTGCGTTTACGAGCGCTGAGCACTTCAAAACATATCTACTGTAATGGCTGTCAGCAGCCACCATGTTGTGTGGTTGCTTGCTTCCCCCAGGTAATCTCAACATCTGCTCTTGTTCTTCACACTGTTGTATGTTTGAAAATAAATAAACCTACAGTATGTTACTTAAAAAACAAAAAAGAAGTCTATTAGTCAAAAGTTCATCACACGGGTTACAATCTGGCTGCACAATCAACTTTAGATCTGCCAATAACTGTGTAGTGCAAAGGCCTACTTGACTGGATACAAATCCATTGAATATTTAAGTGGTAGGTCTTCATATTACAAAGTTTTGCTAAATCTAAAGTTGACTAGACAAAAGATTGTATGTTCTAATTGTAATGTGTATGGTGAGCTAATAGGGGATTTTACATGCACCTTGGGAATTGTTCTCTATGTACAATAAATATAGACAGAGCTGTTTAAATGAGTGTTGGTGAAGGAGACTTCGATTCTTTCTGGCTGCTTTCTGGTCATACGTCACAGCAACATCTGCTGTGGACCCACGCTGCACCCATGGAAGCAGATTCTAGCAGTTACACACAATACAGTCAATAAAACATGCTGGCAAGCAACAGTAATCTTAAGCCCTGAATCACACCTAAGCATTTTTGTAGCTTGAAGCTCAAAGCTTCAAAAGGCTCAACAACCAAAATCCCATGCTTTTAAATTGTGCCTGTTCACATATGAGCGCTGAGGCGCTTGTAGCTCAATGCCTGATGCTCAAAACTGTACATGAGCTACATTTAAAGCAGAATGGACGTTTTTCAAATTAAATTAAAATAACAAAGCTTTATAAACCACTTGATGACTGCGGTGGTAAACCCCCTTCCTGGCCAGGCCATTTTTCAATATTTAGTGCTGCGGTACTTTGACTGACAATTATTCCGTATTACAACGCTGTACTGAAATGAATTTTATACCATTTTTTGAGGACAGATTTTTTTTTTACTATATAATGAAAGTAGTTCAGAAAATGTAGAAACAAAAAAAACTGTTTTCCCTACGTTATGTTATAAAACATTTATTATTACCCAATTTTTTGGTCAAATATAAAAGACGGGGTCACGTCGGGTAAATAGGCACTAAACATGTCAAGCTTTAAAATTGCGTGCACCCGCGAAATCGCAAAAAACTACCATACCCAAAATTGCTCATAGACGATGCTTTAAAAGCTTTTACTGCTCATCAATTTAGTTTAAACAGTGATTGATGGCCCTAGAATCATTTCTCTAAGTCCGATGTTCGCGGCGATATGTAGCATGTGTGGCGTTATCGTTTTTGCACGTAGGTGCACCTGGCGCGTATTTACCTTTATATGTGCATGCACACGAGGGCAAGGGACTTACATTTTTTGGGGTGTTTGTTATTTAATATCAGTGACTTTCATTTTTTATTGCTATCACATAGGCGGCTAACAAGCCTCTACTTCAGCTAACAAGCCCCCTATGTCATAACAAATATACAATGACAGGTCACATGGAGACATCAGGGGGGACACCCAAATAAGCTGATGAAGCAGAGATCTGCTTCTCCAACTTCTTCTCTGGCTATAGCAGCCAAAGAAATGATAGCTAAAGGCGGAAGTGATGTAATACACATCACTTCCGCCTTTAGAGATCGAAGCAGAGGTCTGCAAGTAGGAGAATGCTGATCTCTCCTCCGTGTACAATTGAGTGGCTGCTGTGCTGGTCCCAGGACAGCAAGGGGGACAGTGGAGCCTGAGATAACCGGCAGCAGAGGGAGGCGCAGCAGCAGAGAGGGGCGCTCTGTGCGTTGTCATACAAGCGATCGGCCAGCTGTAGAGGCGGCTGAACGCTTGAATGCAACAGCCGATAATGACTGTATACATTTCTGGCAGGATTCTTCTCAGCATTGCGCCAAATTGCCTGTGTTATTTGTACTTCAGCTGGCTTTGTGACAGCTGTGAGCAGGAAGCACTCTGATTAAAGAGCTTCCTGCCCCACTGACCACATACCAAAAGTGGAGGATCCCAAAAACCATGGCGGGGGGTGCGGCACCACCTATGCAGACTGCTACAAGTGATCTGGGCGGCTACATAGCCACCCAAATCACTTGTAAAGAACAAACTCCACCTGCTTCAGCAGCAGCAATGATCTTGGTAAAACCACTTCAGAACCAGTATATATTTTGGCATGGCGTGGCAATACCACGGTATAATGTGGCCTCAAAGTCGTCCAGGACTCCCAGCAAGAGGGGCTGAGCGGCTCCAGGAATGTACAGTTACCAGGGAAGAGCTGGCTTTACAACTCATTCCGGGTTTTCTGGATTATAGTTGGGATTCTGGAGCCGGGAGATTTCTAAGAGAACTGGGAGGGAAGAAATCTCCATTCCTGGGTCCGTGCTTTAGTGGTGACCAGCACCAAATGATGGTGCACCTGTGCACAGCCCTTATGAGGAGGATGCTGGGTCAGGTCCAGGGCTCCACCTGGGTGACAGAGGAGGTCTCTGCAGGAGTCAGGAGGGCTCCACCCTGGGACCAGTCTGTGGCTGGCGGACTGAGGAGTGTGTCACCTGTGTAGTGAAAACGTTTGGTATAAGACAACCTAAAGTCAGTGGACTTTGAAAGTGCTGTTTTGGATGTGCATATGTTCCTGTGCAAGAGATGATAACGAACCCCTGCGAGGGTAATCAAATTGTTTTGAGAACTTTAATTTAATAAAAGTGGGCAAGGATGCCCTAAAAATAAGTCATAAGCGAGTGGATGTATCCTTAATGCGCTACCATTGGAAGCTAAATCTCACTATATATATATATATATATATATAAATATAAACAATTTTTGCTGAAATATTAGGCTTCAATCCAGGGATTTGCCCCACAGTTATTTTCTCTGCCACATGGGTCCAGCATCATTCAATCCATTTTCCCTGAGTCCATGTCATCTTGAACCTCCCCCAGCCAACAGACAGTAAAACGAGAAGCAGCACAGTGGTGAGCTAATCTTTCTGCCAATCTGCTTTCTCCTCCTATCAACATGCTTTGTGTCAGCACATTAATTGACTGGCTCTTTGTGCTGCTTCTTCCACTAACACACCAGTCATTTAATTAGCTGCCAGCCCTACACTGAATAAGCAAACTATTTTTGGAGTTTAAAAGGGGAAGACTAGTTATAGGTTATAACAATCACATTATATGACAATGACTCAGTCAAAAAATTCTGAAAAGCCTTAATAACAATCACTGAGGCAAACAAACCAAAATTGGTATTAACAAATAATAAAGGGCAAGTGCATGCAAACTCTGTATTCCAGCTGTGGATAATGGTTCATAGAGTGAATCAACCTTGGTGACTCTCGTGCTGGAGTCCATGGCTCCAGACCTCAGCCATTATGGAGCCAAGCAAAGTCTTACTCCTTTTAGTTCTGTAGTATAATAGAGGCTAATTGACAGAAGAATACACTTCCAACAAGTCATGCAGCAGGTGGGTGGAGCTGGTCATTTTGGTACCAACCAAGGTGCCAAGTAAGCAATGAGTCTGTCCCTTTGTACCCACCAGACCTCACTAACTATGGCACAGAGTTATTAAGAGATACAGTATAAGAAACAAGCAGGTTATCGAACCCACAGCAAGCAAAGGTAAATGATCAGTTTTGGTTGAACTTCACCTTTAAGTTAATTAAGTAAATGATTACTCACCTTTCTGAGGCCGGTACTTTTTAGCTCCAACGCATCCATCGTGTAGTTGACCCTTCGGCCATAATGGTCAAACTGGACATTTCCAGTTAGCCCCTGTATTCGAACCTGTAATAAAAATACATTTGCACCAAGTCAGCATCAGCTCTTCATAAATAAAAACTCTGTAGGTGGTAAAGAATTCTAAGCAGTACCTGTTTTAATGTTCTCTCCATATCAATTCCCTGACCCCATGGAGCAGCAGGATTAGCAAGACAGTCTCCTGCATTTCCTCTTCTTGAAAGATCAATTTTTTGTCTTCTTAAATTACGGAATGCTTCAGCCATCACAAGTACACCATCGTAAGTCAGGGCAGATGTATACTGCAAGAAAAAAAAATAGGAAACTGCTTTACCTATGATGTGGGGACTATTGTATATGTGGAGGGGCTTTAAAATGATTTTAAATTAAAGATTTTTCTGTGCAGATGGCATAGCTAAGACTGTAACACACAATCCCACCTAGGGGCACCACACATCAATGTATGACATGCTTATTACATTGGAATAGAGACACCTTCCTTCCTCTGTGACGATCTATCTATCTATCTATCTATCTATCTATCTATCTATCTATCTATCTATCCCATATCTCCCTGTAATATCTCTCTCTTATCTATCTATCTATCTATCTATCTATCTATCTATCTATCTATCTATCTATCTATCTATCTATCCCATATCTCCCTGTAACATATCTCTCTCATCTATCTATCTATCTATCTATCTATCTATCTATCTATCTATCTATCTATCTATCTATCGATCTATCTATCTCATATCTCCCTGTAATCTCTCTCTCTCTTATCTATCTATCTATCTATCTATCTATCTATCTATCTATCTATCTATCTATCTTTCTATCCCATGGCTCCCTGTAATCTCTCTCTCCTGTATTTCTGTCCGTCTGCCTATTTTATATCCCTCTAGTCTGTTCATATCATATCTCCCTGTAATCTGTCTATCCTATCCTATACTATGTGCATGTAAACTGTCCTTCAATCCTTCTTTTTGTTCATCTCTAGTGTCTATCTATCAATCTGTCAATTTAGTTCTACGCTGTATTTCCTCACATACTAGTCTACAGTTCTTGTAGAACTTTACTTTACACACTCTAATTTCACCAATCTCTTCTCCCTGTTAGAAAATACAAGGCCCCCAGTACCTCTCATAGCTCTAATAGCTTTGAGGTCAAATGGTAAGTGAATATATGAACTAGGCCATTAATGAGCAGGTCTGATAACACTGCAATGTGGCATTCTGCTTCCAAGTAAACTTGTTCCTGGTCAAGAAGCACTTTATTTTCAAATAAATAATTAATGTTCCGGTCAAGCTGTATCTATGGCCTCTTCAACGAGTATCTTTTGAATTGGCAATAGTAGATGATCTACTCCCTGGGGATTTTCCAGTACAAGGTACGAATATAAAGGGAAAGGAACAAGAGCATGTATATGAGGCATTATAAAATGCTATAATCTATAATACACTGTATATAAAGAGGAAGAAAGAGTGCACAGGTGTTGCAAGCAAAATTAATTTCACAGCTGGATCAAAACAAATATTTCAGATAGGTCGCCATAGTAGGCAAATAGGCTAATGAACTAAAGGAATACTGTCTGTTCACAAGGGGTTGATTTATAACCCGTTTGCACAGCAAACAGCTATTACATTTCTTATGCTCTTCAGCTCCATCTAGTGGCCATAATGTGCTGTGAATCTCATTCACACAGCTGTTCAGCTGTGTGAATAGGTTTTGTATTAACCTCAATGCGTTGTAGTACAAAGGGTAAAGCTGTGTTTACTTGAAAGCCTTTTTTGGAAGAAAAAAAGGGTATTTGCTAGGGTATGATTGGGTGAATGAAGAGAACACAACTTCACCTTATTTACTAAACTCAGCGAGCATTGTTTTTGTAAAGTGGACATCCTCTACTCCTTGAATCCCAGATTGTGGGTAATTAGTATAATAGATTTTAATATATTTCAGGGTTAAGCTACCTAAACGTGTGTGCAGGATGGACACATGGAGGTCTATTTATAAACACTGTTCGGAGCCATTTGGCCTGCAAATCGCTGTAAACATTCCTTCTGTGTGAATAGAGGTAAAACCAAAGGTTCTTAATATATTTTCTTTTCAGGTTGAATGTAATATTCAGAAAATACCACATCATGGCCACTAGATGGAGCAGATGAGCACAGGAAATACATAGTAACAATGTATTACATTTAGGTTTAGGTTTCTGTTTACAGAAAAATGAGTTCCATTCCTATATAACCCCTGCCATTTCCTTTAAGCCACACCCACTTTTGCTGTTATTTCCTATGGTGGTCTCCAGGTACCCCAGTTAAACTGTGAATATGAAAAATATCAACATGGCTCTAAAATTAACTATGCTGAGATCAACCGGAGGGGCCCTATAAACTCATATGAACTGACCCTTTAACGTTCAATTCCACACTGTAAATTAATATACTGATTTTTAACAGATTGAGGGTACTTAGTATTATCATTTCAAGTGTTGGTTTCATTATTTTAGCATGCTCTGACCATCTTTTGTAACCTGTTGGCAGGATCTGACCATCTTTTGTAACATGTTGGCAGGCGCTGACTGTCTTTTGTAACCTGTTGGCATGCTCTGCCCATCTTTTGTAACCTGTTGGCAGGATCTGACCATCTTTTGTAACATGTTGGCAGGCGCTGACTGTCTTTTGTAACATGTTGGCATGCTCTGCCATCTTTTGTAACCTGTTGGCATGCTCTGACTGTCTTTTGTAACCTGTTGGCAGATTCTGACTGTCTTTTGTAACCTGTTGGCATGCTCTGACTGTCTTTTGTAACCTGTTGGCATGCTCTGACTGTCTTTTGTAACCTGTTGGCATGCTCTGACTGTCTTTTGTAACCTGTTGGCAGATTCTGACTGTCTTTTGTAACATGTTGGCATGCTCTGCCCATCTTTTGTAACATGTTGGCAATCTCTGACTGTCTTTTGTAACATGTTGGCATGCTCTGCCCATCTTTTGTAACATGTTGGCAAGCTCAGAGGCTCCATTCACATATAGTGTTTGGATTTCCCGCGCAGTTTTCTGTGCAGAAGATCACGCGGCACTAAAATCTTTCATCTGCATAGATTCCGATTGTTTGCAGATATCACTATAGCCACGAACGTGCAGAGCCCCTCCACGTACGGCCGAATACGCACGGACAACCGCTCCTGTGTGAATGGAGCCTTACTGTCTTTTTTAACATGTTGGCAGGTTCTGACTATCTTTTGTAACATGTTGGCATGCTCTACCCGTCTTTTGTAACATGTTGGCATGCTCTGCCTGTCTTTTGTAACATGTTGGCATGCTCTGCCTGTCTTTTGTAACATGTTGGCATGCTCTGACTGTCTTTTGTAACATGTTGGCAGGTTCTGACTCTTTTGCAACATATGAACTGCGCAAAGTATGAACATAGCTCTGAAATCATTTATTCTGACATAGACTGGTGGCCAAACTAACTCATATAAACTGACCCTTTAAGTTTAAAGTTTAACTTGACTTTTGTTGAGAAAAAACAACCCCCTCTGGGTGATCAATGTACACTGCAAGGATTTTAAACTTGTTGCAGATTCCTACCTCTTTCTGTGCTCACTATGTCCTTTCCAGACTGATTCCTGAATGGAAGGGTCAGCCTTCATTCTAACCATCTGGTGTACTTTCAGTGCTCTAAAGAGGAAAGGTGCAGTGCGTGCTTCCCTTTAGAAGTAGTTAACCCTTAGGGAGAATCTCACCAAAAATAAAATTTCTGCTGAAGGGCATGTCTACAAGTTTACTTGTATCTTAGTGCAGGTTTCTGACAAAATCAGTGAGCCAATCACACAAGCAGGAAATTACATCTCTGAAGGTATTTTGTACACCGGCAGCGTACAAAACACCATTTGGTCATCATATTGCATTGAAGTTTTAGAAAATGACAGAAGATTCAGATTGGAATTGAAAAGGTAATTTTTATCTAATTACATGATGGCTTATGCAGCAATTTTATATGATATAATATATATGCTATATCATTTTTTTCTGAGGAAGGTAGAGTTTTCATTTAAGTCCACATAGTAAATGGTAGAGCTTCTAATTTTCAAACATTATTATGTAAGAAAAATGGAGATGATACAAAAAAAACAAATCAAATTTCTGTAAAATTTTAAAATAAATCCATTAAATCTATTTGTGTGATTTTGTTTGTATTTTGTTTTGCCAATGCCGCCTCTGTAATTGCATCAATATGTATCTTCTGTGTATGAAATATTAACATCTATCTGTAATTGTCTTCTGAAATCATAAAAGCGTGACGAGGGATGTATTTGGACTTTTCAACTACCCCTCATCCTTGCCCTGGAAAACTGGAGGAACAGATGTATGTATTTTACCAGTACAAGCGGAGTATAAAAAATATAGGCTAAGAAAAAAAAGAAGGTCTGAGGCTTTCTATAATCACTCTGTCATGTCCCTAATATAATTTAGTTGCTAAGGCCATTGTTCTGTTGGGATGTATTGCTGGTACCTGTCACCTAGACTCAGTGAGGGCAGCCATGTAGTGAACTGAGCAGATATCATATTGCCATTGCATGCTGTGCTCTTGTGCTTATGAGATTTATGGAATTGAATCAGCTTGGAAGCAGCCACCTGCATCATCAGCATTCCAGAACAGCCACAAGCACTACATACGGCCTTGTTTCAGAACGGTATGATATATAATATATGCTATTTTACACCCCATCAACTCTGTCTTTTTATGGGTTCTAAATCTGCACAGAATTACATCAGATATCCAACTCATGAGTACATATGACCACCTCTGAATGTGTCTGACCACGTAGAACACATATACTAAGAATTAGGTTTTGAAGGCTTCACATAATGTACTGTGTGGTCAGTAACAGTGAACTACAACCAAAGCTCACTTTTTTTAAATAAGAATTCTTATCCTGCTGTTTTAGATTTGTGAATTCTAATTGGTCTTCTGCAAACTCGTGCTATTTTCGTGCAGTTCTTCGAAGAATGCAGAAAGAGGCCCTGCACAAAAATGTGGCTGCTTGAGTAGCAAATAGAGCCACAAGTAGTTGCAATTTTTGCAAAGGCGGTTCTGGACAAGGTTTTATACATTTGACCTACAAAGGTTGCTTGTTTTACCTTAATCTGATTTTCTGTTTCAGCAATACTCTGCAAGCTTCAAGCATATACTTCTGGATTAAAATTCAACTTTTTGTCATAACTTTTTGGCAACTTCTTTTTCACTCTCTGAGGCAGCAAGGAGCCATGAATGAGTGGAGTTGAGAATCAGGATTTGGTATTCCCGGAGCAGCAGGTAATTGGCAACTTGGCAATTTTAAAGTGACACTAGACTCAGGAGTTAAAACTTAAAAATGCATTCAAGTACTCTAATGATTAACAATAATGTAATTTATTTGTGTATCACTCAGCTGTAGATCCTCAAATCATCTCTGAATTGGTGCTGACACTGTCCTTCCTTCTGGAGGGTGGCTACTTTTGTTCCCCATGGTCCTTATGTGTGTTGTAAAGTAGTCACCGCTCCAAGCTCCCTCCTGTGATGAACTACAGTCTCATGTTTAGTTTACTAATTTGTTTAGTTTACTAATTTGTATTGACATTGAGTGAGCTTAGAGCTCCAAGCTCACTCAATCTCAATACAAATTAGTAAACTAAACATGAGACTGTAGTTCATCACAGGAGGGAGCTTGGAACAGTGGCTACTTAACAACACACACAGGGACCATGGGGAACAAAAGCGGCCACCCTCCAGAAGGAAGGACAGTGTCAGCAGCAATTCAGAGATGATTTGAGGATCAACAGCCGAGTGATACATAAGTAAGATACATTTTTGCTAATAGTTAAGGTACTTGAATACATTTTTGAGGTTTACCTCCCGAGTTTACTGTCAGTTTAAGCAGTTGGGTGGCCTGGTGCAATACAGCTACCCATGGATGGAAAACAGAAGTGCTGAGCTTGTAGCCTGTGTTCCCTGTATGAATTTGAAAGCTTGATTCATATTGGTAACTGGTGCGTACCTTTCTGCATTGTGATTTTTTTCCTAGCCTGTGACACTTTACATGTATAACCCCTGTGTGATAAACAAGAAAAAACAAGTACCTTCGGAGGGGTTTCAGATCCTGGGTACTCCCGCTGGTCCAATGTCTTCCACCTCTGCATTAATTCCGTCACTATTGGAGTATTAAAATCCACCAGCTGGAATCCTGTAACATTGGCTCCGCCATGCATAAACCTGTCAAGCGAAATGTCCTTGATTCCCTAAAAAGAAATATTCAGAGCTACATTAATTGTTTGTCCGCTTCCAGCGCCGATACCTTGTAGTGACAGGCAACTGCTAAAAGATTAGAAGGTACTTGTCATCTGACAAGGAGGTAAGTGTTAGAAAAACAGTAAGCAGAAATAACAGCAGCACATTTTATATGTGTCGATATGTGAAGTTTCTCATTTATGTTTAACTTACTGAAATGGCAGAAGTTTGAGTGAAAGCCACAGCACTGGTGGTGTTCAATTTATGGAACACATGTATTAAATACAATGAACCTGAATAACTAAAACAAATGAACAAGAGCACGGAGGAATTGCTCAGGTACATGAGTGGCTTGCATGAGTGGCGTGATGCATGTGAGCGGGGTGACCACAGTACCTGCTATCTTGATGATGGTACACTGGCGTTCATTGTATACAGCAGTGTTACTCAATCATTTTTAAGCCACCCTTTAAAACTATGCAAAATCTTGAGGCACCACAGTCTAAAATGTAAGGGGGGACCCCAAGCAAAAACACATGAAAGAGTGGGGTTCCACACTTTGATTCAAAGTCCCCCCTTCAAATCAAGAACCCCCATTTCACATCAAAGCTCCTCTTTCATATCAGAGTCCCCCTTTACATCAGTAGCTCCCTTCACATTAGAAACCCCCTTCTTTTACATCAAAGTCCTCCTCCTTTCACATCAGAAGTCCTCTCACATCAGAAACCCCCCTTTATATCAGAATCTTCCTTTCAGATCCTAATCCCTCAATTTACATCAGAGTTCCCCATTCACATCAGAGTCCTACCATCACAAAATTTCGAGGCACCCCTGAGAAAGCCAGAAGGCACCCCAGTGTGCCATGGCACCTTGGTTGAGAAAGGCTGATATACAGCATGGGCCTAGTTTGCTGTGCAAGTTGAACATTCAGAAATTGATGCTTTTGTGCCTTTTGATCTCACAAAGGATTTTGTATCAGATAAGTAATGAAATGCACATGTGCCAAGGTCTGAAAAACCTGTACATTATATGGTCAGAGAAATGGCAGCATACGTATCATTGGTAACCTGTGTAATATCTGCACATGCACACATCGATACCCCTAGCACAGTGTGTCTTTTACTCTTTTTAGTGATATCAGTATTAACTTTATGCGGTTTTGAAAGAGGTCAGGTAGACCCGAAAACACTAGAGTGTACACTGTATAGTGAATTGTGATAATACATGTGTACACTGTAGATTGAGTGTGTCCATACACATCACAGGTGCATACTGTGAGATACAATTGTGTTGTCTGCAACATAATAATAAACCACTGCCCAGAAAACCTACCTAGCATCTCATCTAATGGCTGTATGTAAATATGAAGCACAATCCCTAGATCTGTCTTCCATGGAAATCTGTCCAAAATTAGGTCAATCCCTGTGTGGAAGGTTTCCCCTCTATTCCTCTTCTGGTGACAGGTCAAAATTTTAGATTTTCCCTTACTGTCTGTTAATAGCACCAAAGCAAACAGAGAGAGTCAATCTCCCCAGCGGGTACAGACAACAATACATACCTCACAGGAGGTGAGTTCTAACCCCTCACCACTCTACCTAAAATAAAATAAAATATGGGTTATAGATATACTTCATCTCACCCTGTGAATCTCTGAGTTACCAATCTCTTCAATTCATTCTTTTAGTTTGAGTGGAGGCAGCAATAATATCATCAAGTCGGCACTGACTGATTCAGTGGGAATGTATATTAAGAACTACAGTATAGCTTGTTAATCATCACCTGGCCACACCTCATCCTGCCCACTGCTTTCTGGATTGACATCACTGCCTCTGTTGCTAAAACCCTTCCCCTGTAAGATGCAGTGTCTAGGCGGGGAGCGCGTGAGACACAAATGAAGGAGGATTTGACTCTTGACAGAGGATGTAAAGGAAGTTTTTGTTTAGTTTATAAGGCCTGTGCATGACATAGTAACTGAATTTACTACTTGCTTAAACTGTCATACAGGAACCTTTAGATGTACTTTAACCCACTTTAACCCATTCGCTGCCAAGGTGTTTTTTGCACACATATTATAATCCACATTTTAGGCATGCAAATTACTTAACACCTCCCAAGAGTTATATATTTCCTGAAAGCAGAGATCCTGTAGAATAAAACTGTGGCAGTTGCATATTTTCACAGTGCATGATATTTGCACAGCACTTTATAAAACCCAAAATGTCTGTAAGAAATACATTACATTAATAAGTGCTGTTAATGCACAAAAACACAATAAAATACCCACTTTTTTTTTACAGAATATAAAAGATGAGGTCAAGCCGAGTAAAAAGATACCCAATGTGAAACAGTAACAAAATACGGTACCCCAAATTGTCCATAGGTGACGAGTGAAAAGCCCGTACAGGTCAACAGTTTATAGTTATCCTTGAATATTGGTCCTATTGCTCTCACTCTGGTGCAGGCGGCAATACCTAACATGTGTAGCGCAATCGTCATTTTCATACGTAGGCGCATCCAATGCGTGTTTACGTTAGTATGCGCATGTTTGCAGGGGGAGGACTTTAAAACATTTTATTTTTACTTTATTTTACTTTTATTTCTTTATACTTTTTTTTTTTTTACTAACTTCATTGCTATCACAAAAGCGGCTTACAAGGCCACTTCCCGACAACACCCAAGAAGATGGTCCCGGGCTTGTAGGAGGGGCCGCAGAGCCTAGGGAGCAAGGACTCCCTAGGTAAAGCTGACAGCCGGCTTCACAAGGGTAAAAAGAGTCAGTCGCTGGGAGTCTGTTCAGCGGGGCCCGCTGCCAGCGATGTATAATATATGTCCTTGTTAGTGAAAGGGTTAAAGGAAACCTATAATGGCTTTTGGTCAATGTTATTATAAGGTTGCAAACTGATAATTCGGTGCTAATTACTTGTATAAATTCTTTACTTTTACAAATAAACAGTTACTACAGAATGACATTTGGGTTACATATACTGGGCTTTCCAATAAGCCCAGCACCAACATTGTACTGGTTTATGTCTAAAATAAGAATCCATACAGGTTTTTTAAAGTCCTACAGATACAGGCATGAGTCCTTCCTTTCTTACCAAAGCTATCCACAGCATAGCAGCAAATCATTGTGTAGAAAACCTAGCTAACTAGCACCCCATCTAATGTTGTAAGGATAAATATTAAAAAAACACATCAGTTTTCATTTCTCTATTACTCTTCTTCACCCCAGGAAGAAGAAAACATAACATTTTATGTCACGTAAACCTTACAAAGCTGATTGTTGGCAGTATTTGTGTTCTTCCTCCTGTGATGTCTTTGTCATTTAGTTATGACTGCTCTAAGTGTAACCAGTGAATAAGGTGTCCTACTTATTTCTTTTTATCTGGGTAAAGAAGGAAGGTATATTTCTGTATCTTTTATTATCTAATAAAGGTTAGGTTAACGAGCCTCTTCAGTTTCCACTATTTTACTATTATAAGAATCCACAATAAGATGGAGGACTCTAAAGAGAAAAGCTTTTTTGTGTGTACTGCGTTCCTACTTTCCCAGTAGGTCTTCTACCTAATAGTTATGTTTTCAGGTGTTCTTTGTCCGAGAACAAATTATTTAAGGGCAGAGGAAACCTACAGAATGCTCATTATGAGTTATCACACGTACTTGGCTTGGTGTGATTTCTGGCACTGCAGCAGAATAGCAACTCCAGCCACTATGTGTAACCAATCAATCAGATATCTGTTAATGCTACACTTTAAATATTGCAACAGTGACACAATTAAAAATTCCATTTAATTTACCTTGATGGGTATGAATATCAAAAACATTTTGGCTAGTTTTGGATAAAGTAGGAAAGGGTTAACACCTGTGCAAGTTTATTTTTTTGCTTTCTTTGTCCTATCGGGAAGATTTCTCTTCACTTCCTGTCCCAAAGACACCAACAGGAATTGATAGGGATCTAGAAATAAAGGTGTCCCATTGGAGGATTTGCCCTCACCTCTTGTTCTGGTGACAATTCTAAAACTGTGGATCTCTCATCACTTTCTGTCTCGGTGACAGTGGTCACCAGAACAAATGGAGAAGGGGAATCAAGTCTATGGGAATGCAAAAGCCTCCAAAGCAGGTGGAATGCAAGTCAATTGGGCATAAAGGATCTTAGGAGCATCTCAAACTGGATTTTAAAATCATTTGCCCATCGAAGTCCATCGACAGAGGCCCTAAATTTCCATAGCTTACACAGAGAGCAACATAGCTGCCTGGAGTGAGAACAACTGATTGGGATATAGCCATATTACCAGACTACCATCTCATTCTAAGCAATGGTTTGACCTATTAAGCTAGCTATGTTTGAAGTTCACCTATGTTCCTATTTTGCATTATACATGATTTTATGTTATAGAGTTTACTACAAAGCACTAAATTGTCCTTCCTTCATTACAAAAAATGGAAATTCCTGGCACGAGAAATAAGGGCAGACCAGATAGCATAACAGATATCACACTATATGGCCAAATGCTTGTGCATACCTGACCATCAAACCTACCTACAGTATATGGCCAAAAGTATATGGACCACTGACTTCCTGTGAAGGGTACTGTTAAAAATAGAGCATACAAAACCATATTTGACTGTGTCCTTCTAACATTGGGGCAACACTTGGGGAAGGTCCTTTTCTGCTCCACCATGACTGTCTTCCCGTGCAAGAAGCCAGGTACATAAAAACATGGCATGATGAGTTTGTTGTGAATGAACTCAAGTGGCCTGGGCAAAGCCCTGACCACAACCTTATTAGGCACATTTAGGATGAATTGGGAAATCCAACATTTGTATCTCACCTCTCAAATTGGCTGAATGGGCACACATTTTTACACTTTACACTCCACAATCTTGTTGAAATAATTCTTATGAGACACTTGTGCAAAGGATTGGTGGGAGGGGGTAACTACTTAATGCCCGACAAGCTCATATTTGTGTGGTGAGGTCATGTGTTCACCAATTTCTATTTATATAGCGTATTTGCAATATGTGTTGGCAAACCTGGAAAAATATTTCCTCCAATGGGCACTTTGTGGAGCATTGTTGGTCCTGTGTCTGTGGGTACACAACTAAAATCAGTACATCTTCAAGTAGGTGAAAGGTCCTTGCTCCCTGCCCCTTCACCGACACCTTCAACCTCTTCTACAGGCTACAGAGATTCCACTTCCTGGTCCCTTCTCTTAACTATCAATGAAGCACCCTACCATGTTATCACTCCAGCCACAGTTCTATCCACTAAGGGAGAAGCTCCTTACATAGAAAACAGACATAATATTTCATATGATACAACTGTTAGCTAGCTCCTAGATCCTCCCTGCTACAGATCATCAAGTCCTCATCACTTAGATGTGTCATCTCTTTCTCATTGGGTCACACTAAACTTTAAATTATACATGTTCTTTTAAGGTGACAAGAATAACTTGGCAATGCACTTTATACCTGTTAGAAAACTTGAACTTTATTTAACATTATCATCAACTGGAGGGGGGGGGCGACACGACTCCACTACACCCATTGAAGGTTTAAACCCTCTGCCATTCAATCCGAAATAATCAATTTGGGGTGATGGTGCTCTTTTAAACATAAAACACAAATGTCTAAAATGCAGAATAAGTATCTTTATTTATTACATCTAGGCAAAGCAAAGAAAATTGTATTCTACTTGAAAACACAGGATCTGCAATTCTAATTATTCTACATATTTGCCTCTCCACATAATTAGTCTCAGATTCTGAAATAAAGCAATCAAGGTCTCCACAAAAAATGAAACACTCTAAAAATAATCGGACCTATTGTTCTGACAGATCAGCTTTATCTTTTCTGCATTCTTAAAGCTCACTTCACACTTATTTAGAAAAGTGAGCATTTGGAATGCAAAGCTCGGCATTAGCACAAGGGATGGACCATTTTTATTAGCAATGGCCTACCAAGCTAGCATAAAGCAGAATTCTGACGACTGCCACTGTCTGTTTTATTAAACTACTGCTTGACTCAAGGTCGAAAGTGAGATAGAGAGGGTAAATGTTTTAAAACACTTAACAAAAAAGACATTCTTACTGCGATTAATCAAGCCATCCTTTTCTTAAATGTAGCAGAAAGAAAGTACAAAGAGGAAGGCCGTCCACAGAAAGAAGACTGGAATTTAAAAGCATTGTGCTACTTCTGCTAAATCTATATGATTGGAGAGGGAGGCACTTGTATTTCTACAGGAGGTGTAACCTGTGTCTATCAATTTGGTGGATAATGCTTTTACTTCATTATTTAAAGCCTAACTCCAGCCAATAGGTTTCTTTTGGATACTGATATGGAAAGGGTTAGAACCTCGTTTTATTGTTATCTGTGTCACTCTTGAGAAGATTTCCCCTTACTTCATGTCCCAGTATAAGGGAGTAATGGGAAATCTCACCTATGGGAAAAGAGACAGCAACATTTTCTAGCATGGTGGAAAAGGTTAAATCATAAGTAAAGTTTACATTCCTGTCTGTCACAGTGACCTCCAATCCTTAATTTCTTGTCCTGGTGTTGTCAGTAAGTGGAAATCCCCCCAGTGGAGTCAAAGACAACAAAAAAGGAAAAACAATAATAGGAACAAAATGTTTCTGCCACATTAAAAACTAAGAAAGATGGACTTTAATACAGTAACCAGTCTCTTTGCGCTACTCCAAAAGATAAGTGCTTTGCAGGCGGCTCGCAAAAACCATATACAGCCCAATTGCAAGGTTGATATTTTTGTCAGCAGCACTCTGTCAATCGTGTCAACAACCTGAAGTGTCAAAAAAAGGTGGAATGTGACTACCACCATAGGATTACAATGCACTCCCCAGTGGACATCCACATAAACACAACACATTTCACCCAAAAGGGCGTCATCGGGGGCCAAGCACTGTTCATGTGTTACAGGCAGTGTACACAAAAATAAAACTGCTAAGAGCAAGGAAAACAAGGTTTAAGGTATGGGAGACATTACATGTCTCTTCTGCCAAAAATTCTACTGCCTAGCTTTATTTCCAGACTTAGTTCCACTTTAACATGTGACTTTAAACCAAAGCTTTTAAAGGGGTGTTTTTTAAGCTCTTAAATCCATAAAGTGGATCTAAAGCCAAAACATTTTTTTAGTTTTGGATGGATTGATGAGGGATAGGACTCCTGGGGCTTAACTTGTGGGAAAATCCAAAATTGGGTTATCACTAAAACTAGTGATAAGGAACCTCTTTCAATAAGGACACCTGTCTAAGAAGGCATTGCCCTCAATGTGAAGAGATTTTCTCTCACTCACTAGTAAGTACAGGACAGGAAGTAAAAGGAAACCTCTCCAATCTCTTCGCAAAAAATCAATCTGACGTGTGTTAACCATTCCTTACTGTATGCAAAATGAAAATATTAGGCTTTAGACATATTTTCTTTGATAATAAGAGCTAACAAGGATGTGTAAAAACTGAGACCAACCCTAAAGGTAACTATTTCACTGATTATTATGGTAAGATATGTTAGATATTTATAGTACTTTTATTTACCTATGGCAGAACCTGCCCTTGACCAGTCAGTCTCAGCACTGATGATTTCAAAGCTGGGATCAGACTTCAAGCAGGAACTTGAAATCTCTTTAAATGGTCAGTCCAACCAAAACTGAAATGACAGATGTTGATAGACCCTGAAGAGGCCAACCGCCAGACAGATTCTTATAGCTCTCAGAGTCTCTATTGGTAATACATCTATGTTTGAGTTCCTGAATCTGAAAACATGCTCGGATCCCATGAGGGAGTCCCACTCTCCCTATGAGCTTGTTATATTATGGAGAAGTCAACACGAGGAGCTGAAACATGCAAAGGTGGGCAGCAACACCCAAAACCCCCAGGTGGACAGAAACAGAGTTGAGAATTATGGCAGGGAGATCTCACTGTATTTAGGACATGCGTGAGTATTTAGGACATGTATGAACCTAGTAATTGACTCAGACCACCAGACTTCACATTAAACTGAAATATTACTTTTGGGTGAATTGACCCTTTCATATAGCATGTACATTTGCACCCCATATTTAACCAAAATAAAAATACCATAACATACTTTAGCAGGTGTTAGTTTTCTGGAGATAAGTAGGCCTTTAACATGGAATTGCTGCACACTATTTGAATGTAATGGAGATGATAAATGCTCTTTTGATTAGAATTTAATGAGATGCATGATGATTGTAGACCAAATGAATGCGCTACTTTTATTTTCCACTGATTTTACCCCATTGCTGCAGCTAGAAAATGCAAATAAGTCGAAATTAATGAGAACAAGTACTTACCAGGTTTGCAATAATGTAATGATAGCCTTTCACGTGTTTTCCAACACTCACAATCTGCACAAAAAATGTAGAGAAAATATAATTAAACAATTAAAAGCATAATAGTAATTGTAACAACCAATAGACTATACAAATATTAACAATGAGTATAATCTCAACAATTAAAACAAGATACATGTATTAATCTAAATTTCATGTTCTATATGCTTGCTTGCATTTTACCACTTTTTACAAAGAGATATGAACACTCCAAAAAAGGCTGAAAAAAAAGGATTCTGGTTAAACTCCTGTTCATTTAAAAAAGCAATATATAAATCATGGTTCTGTTGCAAGATCTCACAGTGGTGAAAACCCCCGATCTGTAAAGGTAGGTGTCTTTCACAGAAAAAGTTCCACATATTCTAAATTCTACATTCCTTGTGGGTCAGTTATTTGTTATCACAAAGCATCCACTCCAAAACTTGTGGCTGCCCGAGCAGTTTCGGCCTGACAGATTTTTTTTATTTCTGGTTTCAGTCTGAAAATTCCATTTCAGTGCATGCCTAGCAAAACTACTTTAGAGAAATATCTCCAATGGAATCTCCAAGGTGGATTAAAAGACAGTGCATTCCAGTGCATTCTGGTCTGGAATGCACTGGAACTGCAGGCAGGTTCACACCATTTTCTGGACCAGATCTGGAGCCATCTCAGTATCATCTCACAGAAGTGGGTGACACTGGCTGTCATTTAACCCTAAAAAAGGACCAACGGTTGTCAGCAGAGTGGACAGGACTAGAGACAATGGAATTTAATTTACTAAAGGCCAATAGGCTGTTAATTTTGCTAGGGAATTTTTCCTTAGCTTAGTAAATGAAGAGAAGTTCTGCTAACTTCCATCGTCCAATCATGTGCAATAGAAAATACTGTTTTGTTTTTTAATTTTCCTGTTCATTTTATTTCCATAATTGGGTATTCTTGAAAAAGTTAATTTTCACCACATTAACTAAGCTGAGGGGAAATTCCATTGCAAAGTAAACACCTATTAACTGTTAGTAGATCAATACCAATGTGAGTATTGCAGCAAAAGCCTAATTTTCTATTTTCTTTTACTATAACTACATGATTAGGCACATGATACAAGAAATGTTACAGCATAGCCTTATGCGTGCCACAGAAAAAAATTCTCATAAATGATCAAATTTTTAATGCAAAGGATACCTGCAATTCCACTTAAAGATTTTATTGAACTTATGGAAAAAACATGGGGGGGGGCAATCAAAACTGAAATGTCCGTTTTTGTGCTGATGCAAATTACAAAGGCACAGTCCACATTTGTCATTACCATGAAATCTACCCTTAGAAATTATTTTTTAGCCATCGGTGGAGGGCATGTAAAAAAGAAGGTAAGTAAGAGGCAGCAGGAGATCAGCAGCACTAATATGAAACAATAGATGAAACAATGTAAAAACAAGTATTTTATTTAAAAAACATATCTGTTTGGATACATGGTGCTTTAGCAAAGTAAATGTCATTTAGTTAGGGTTTATATCTACTTTAATCAGCATAAAAGACTAATGGTTTAGGGGTATCCAGCTGATGAGTGGGATTAAAACACCATAGATCCTAAGCCTACAGGCTCTGGAGCTGTAAATTGGGCCCTGATCAGCCCCAGTAAAATCTCTGAAACCTCTAAAGCGTCACACAAACATTGAAAATCACATTATTTAAAAGTATTTCTCTTTTATTACCCAAAGCCCCATAAAATCACCAAAGATGCATTTTTATCATTAAGACAAAAGATGGATTTCTCTCAGACATTTAAAGTTGGGCAATTTTCAAGCCTGTGCTGCAAGTATAATGAATATGTTCTGCTTCCCGAATTCAAATCAAAATCTTCTGCAGCACAAGCCTGCTATTTTATGCCTGAAGTTGCATACTGTGAAGGTTGATTAATTCATACTATGTACGTGCTGAGTAGCATCTATTTCTAAGAAGAGTCAAAGCGTAGACACCCTGGGATTAATTCATTTGTGCGGGATCAATCAGCAAAGAAAAATAATGAAAGCAAAGTTTTCTTGTGTCTTCCCAAACATATATTTACATTGCATTAGATGGCTGATGGAGACCTATTAAAAATGCTTTTCAGATAAGTTGAAAAATAAGATGTGTTTACTTATACTACACAGGGACACAGGGAAATAGTCATTCTTAGAAATCTGGGTTATACTACTAACTTCTGCAGGTTTGGACATTGGCAAGCAAAAAATAAGCTAAAGGAAATACTTTCATCCCAATTAGAGACAATGGGGTTGATTTACTAACCTTATAAACACACCACGAACATGTATACACCTCTGTAGTGTGTTCCCTCCCAGCATGATCTATGGGTGGAATCTAAACACCTTTGTAGTGTGTACACACCCAGCAGGTGTGTTGTGCAAAGCCCTGCATGAATTGCAAGGTGATCTTGTGTAAATTAGCTCTATGTTGTGTTGCTTGCGTTGATGAATGCAGGAATGTAAATGCATGAGCTAACCATTTTTGTCTAAACTGTGAAGCAGCATTATATATGCATCATGTGCATGATTTTTCCATATATGGCATTAGTGGAAATATGCTTTTAGAGACTTTTTGGTTGATAAATACGTTTTGCTGTGTGAAAATCACACGCACCTGGTGCATGCGTGTGTTTAGGTTAGTAAATCACCCCCAATGTGTGACACTGAAGCTGTCACACATCGGCTCTATTGATCGGGAACCGAATGATCACATACCGCTGATTGCTGAGTTACCGATCTTCTCTCTGCAGTCACTGTCAGTCATCGCTCCCTGCTGGGATTCCCTCCTCCTCAATTTGCTCTGAAGGAACAGACAGGGGAAGGGGTGGGCTCAGCTGCCTCTGCCTCTAGAGCTGTCATTAAGGCAGCAATATTGCACAATATTGTCAGGATCCATCCTGTCTGCGCTGTCAGCATATAGTGAGCAATAGCCCTCTATATGCTGAGTATAGGAGTATATGTCCTCCTGTGACCCGAAAGAGAACTATGGCAAAAAAGGTTGAACCATAGTTCTCTTTTAAGCCACCCCCGTATCAGCCCCAAATTATCATGCCCCTTTTTGTGAGCAAGCAGTACATAGAGGCCATAACGCAGAAGGAAGGGACCTGTGTCCCTCAATGGACTTCAAATGAATGATTTTAGAAAAAAATCATTTTCTTTAATGTCCTTGAACAGAGACATGAAGATAGTAATTCTTAGACATTTGGGACGTCCAAAAGCAGTCTGAGAGGTGGAATTTAATGCAAGAAAGCCTAACCTTATCAATGTCTGATGGAGGCTAGTTAAAAAAGGGGGATGAAGGCAAATATGTCAATTGCTATGATCAGGGAAAAAGGACACCAATGGCCATCCTGGTTTTGCAGAACAGGACAAGCAAACAGTGAATTGCTACCTGATGGAATGATGGACCTCCACTGACAATGTGGTGGACAACATTCACCATAAGACAAAAAAAAAGACAGAAATATAAGGGGTTTGTTTACTAAAGGAATAGGCTGCTCATCTTGCAAGGACATTTGCCCTTTACAAGGGAATTTTCTCTTAGCTTAGTAAATATATTGTAGCAATTCACTTTGCAATTGGTAAATACCCAATAATGTGAAAGGAAAATAAAAACAGTATTTTTGCTTGTACATGGTTGGATGATGGAAATAAGCAGAGCTTCGTCTCATTCACTAAAGTAAAACTTCCTTGCAAAGACCAAATTAATTTGCAAAGTGAACAGCCTATTTGCCTTTAGTAAACGAGAGAGATTTGACCAAAAACAAGAAAGTCAACAAATAAGGCACCAGGATAAAGCCTAGAATACCTGGCCTTTGACTGCAGTGAAAGGAAAGTAGGACCCTTAAGGTATGTTCAAATAAAAATACAAAACAGGTAATAACCAAAGGCTTGTGTGAAACCCCCCCTAACCCTTGACTTCAAGGAAAGAACAGTTGAGTAAACAAGGTATGTCCAAACAAAAAGGTTAACCAGTAAACAGCTGAATGCTTAACCTCCCTGGCGGTCTGATTATTCAGGATTTTAGCATCCAAAAGCGGTACATTGTTTTAAGGACGCCGCGCGCTGGCAGGGACAAGGTAAGTGTCACTTTTCTGTGCATTCCCGAGTCTGGCTCGGGGTTACCGCTCCTGGTATGGAAAATTAACCCAGAGCCAGACCCAGGAATACCGCCAGGGAGGTTAATGGAACCCCCATAACCCTTGACTTCAGGGAAAGGGAGAAGGATTCAATAATGCATATCCAAATAAAGACAAGTAATCATTAAAGAGCTAGAGGCTTAAACATACACCCTTGACCATGAGTTTCAAGGAGATAGAAAGTCAATAATATACAGGATGAACCTGAGAGATAAGAAATCTCTGAAGAGATAGAAATGAGTATGACAACTCTCTCAATCAACATCTACATGGAGAAACGGAGATAATTATGACTAAGTAATTAAGAAATGGTAGGAATCCCAACCCCTTCAAAAGATAAGATGAAGATAACCGCAGCACCCATATAAAAGAAAAATTTAGTTACAAGGCCACAGGAACCGGAAAAGTAAAACTTAGACATTTTAGTTCATGCTCAAAGGTTTATCAGGGATGTAATAGCTACAGTTTAGTTTTCTTGGCCATTCAGTAAATACATGATTCAAAGAATTATAAAAAAAGAGCACAATAAGGAGCAAAATAATTTTTTCGCAGGAGGAAAACCCATGTGCTGGCACCTGGAACAATTAGCCTTAATAGAGGTAAAAAGAAGGCCCACAAAGAATTCTGCAGTTACACTATGCCACTGAGAAAATCTGTAGCCAGGTAACAGAACATTCTACATGCTGACTGCACATGAAGTACAGGACTGATAAAAGAAGATATTATCTTGTGAGGAAGGAGACAAACTCAAGTGATTTACACTGTGTTACGTGTGGGACAACAGATGCAGGTATCTGACAGCAACATTCTAATGTAGAAAGGAAAAAACAGTGTAAACACAAAGAGCGTCTATCACTGTATAGAGAAGGGATTTAGT